AAGGGAGCATCAAAAGAAGGTAGAGGGAATACACGGAGTCACTGTGCCAAAAAGAACTGACACTGAAAAATTTCAGGAAGTATCATATGACTAGGAGCTAATGGTAACGAAGGAGACAGTGGAAGCTGCATTGAAGACACTGACAAAAAATAAGATCTTAGGAATCGATGGGATAACAGTTGATTTGTTTCAGTTTTGAGTTAGAATACAGAACCTCTGAAACCCAATGACTCCATTAGATTTCCAAGGCTGTAAATTATAATGGAAGTAGATTTCCCATTTTTCTGCCTCAGAGAATCTGGTGGTTATGAACCTAAGATCTTTTAGTTAGCAGGACAACATTCTATTCACTCTACCACTATAGGTATAGATACAGGTATTGTTATCTATCTATCTATCTATCTATCTATCTATCTATCTATCTATCTATCTCATCTATCTATATCATCTATCTATCATCTATCTATCATCTATCTATCTATCTATCTATCTATCTATCTATCTATCTATCTATCTATCTATCATCTCTATATCTCTTTTATTCTGTCATTTCTCCATCTGTCCATCCATCCATCCATCCATCCGTCCATCCATCCTTTCTATCAAATCTTCTTTCAGTAATGTCTATAACAGCCTCCCATAAAGTTTCCAAAATTGTAAATCTTTAGGCAAGGAAACTTTCTGTCTTACAAAGTGGATGGTAGATTTGAACTGCTACACTTTAGGTTAGCAGCCCAGTACATCACACACTATGCCTTAGGGACAGCTATCTGTCTGTCTATCTAGCTATCAAATCTATCTCCATCTCTCCATATTGATAGATTGATATAAAGATGTAAATATATACACAGAAAGACAGACAGACCTCTAAGTGACACAAACAGTTAAGTGCTTCACAACTAGCTAAATCATTGGCAGTTTGCACCCACACAGAAACTTATGGCTTCTGATTCCAGAAGGTAATTGCCTTGAAAACCATATGGAGCAGTTTTATTATGTACACAAAAGCCACCATGAGTTAAGATTGACTGGAAAGGCAGCAAACAGCAAGCACACATGCACGTACAAAGGAATTAGCACCCAATAAATATGTTTTCTATTGTTAGTTGCTGCTGAGTTAGATCTAAGTCATCAAAGCTAATGTTAATGTTTGCAGATAAAACATTGTTTGGTCTTGTGCTGTCCATGTGATTGTCATTATAAGTATATAACAAACAGTAGCTATCATGAATTCCAAAATTCCACATATATTCCTCCCACCCCCTTTGTAGACCTCTTCATACTTTAAACAAATATGATCAGAATATTTTAACTTCCAAAATGTAAATTTCTTAAAATAGTACACTCAATTTATGCCATATGTTTCTAAATAAATAAATAAAATAACACCCCAAACACCAAAAACCAAAAAACAAACAACAAAATGCCAGCCACCAAACTCCAGAACACTCATTGTGGTCAGAAATGACTCATAGCAGACCCTCCAGTGGATGCTCAGCTACTGTAACTCACTTGGGGGGTGATTGTTTATTTTGCTCCCAGAAGGTGGCTGGTGGGTTTGAATTACCTGCTCCTGGGTTGGCAGTGCAATTCAGTGATACTCCCATCATCTCACAAATCAGTTTAAAATTTTTATCTGTATATTCTTTCTTTAAACTATCTATAATGGTTGTATCTCTTGAATAATGTTAAGATTTCTATATTCTACACTTAGATTCTTGGAAGTTAGTTGAGGAAGATTATGATGTCATTACAGACAAATAGACAATGACTAATTTGGCATTGTTTGTATGGAATTCTATAGAAGTCAAAGCACCCAAATCCTAAGTAATGACCATACATTTATACTCTTATTATTATTCTACTTTATGCTGTTATCAAATGTTTACTAATTTAGTTATTAATCATCATAAATTTTAAATATAAAGTATCTATCAAAGATTATATTTTTATGTCAGAGATGCAAAGAAAAAAATCTTAAATAAGATAGCAGTTGTTTTACCTCTAATGGTAAATTTAGAATTAGGCAGAATTATCAATTGGCTGCTCTGTGGGAAAAAGATGGACAATCTCCTGTCATGTGATTAAACTGCCTCTGAAAACCCACTGCGGTGTCAGCTATGGGTCATTTCTGACTCGGTGGTACTCAACAACAACAACAACAAAAATTATGGTGGCAGAAAGTATTGAATATACTAAGGACTATTAAAAGTACAAACAAATCTCTTGGTAAAGGAGAAGCTAGAGTGTTGTATAGAGGCTAAGATGGTAAAACTCTTTCCTACATATTTTGGGCCTGTTGTCAGGAGAGGGCAGTCCTTGGGAAAAGCCACCTTAGAGGAGGTGGATTGACACAGTGACTGTAACAGTGGACTTGAGCACAGTGGAGATGGCAAGGATGGCACAGGATCAGCAAAGTTTGCTGTTTGAAGTATGGTCCGTGAGCCATAGTTTCCTTGTCTGCAGCAATAACAGTGTGGTGATTCAAGAATTATTCACATTTTTGTACTATTTACACCCTCTATACTTGTTTGTCAACCACTCTCTCTCCTGGGTGTGTGTGTGTGTGTACATATATATATATATAATGTACAAGAAAGAGTGTGAGTGATTTGCATAAAATGTAGTATCAGGAACCATGATGCCTCTTTATTATTTTTTTTAATTCTTTTTTTTTCTATATTGGTTTGTATACAGAATTCATATACATTATGTTTCAATTATGTACATTGTTTTTCACACATTACTTCATTCACACATGTATTTTATACAGTCATTTACATCCATACATTGTGTTGTTGTACACATCTAACTAGTTATCCCTCTATTTTACAATAATGATCTTACACAGTATTTGTCCTTATGAGACTGAATTAACTCAGAATAATGTGCTCTTGTCTCTCTCATACAGTATTTTTCTAAATCATTTTTCCTAAATACTGAATAGTATCCCAAAGTATGACTGTACCAAAATATTTCAGTCCATTCATTTGTTAATTGACAGTTGGTCTGTTTCCATTTTCTTACTGTTTTGAATAATGGTGCTATGAACACCAGTGTATAAATCCCTATTAGTCTCTCAGTTCTGGTTTCCTTGGAATATATTCCTAACAGTGGAATAGCTGGGTCATATGGAATTTCTATGGTCAGCTTTTTGAGGAACACCAGAGTTCAAGTCTCTCCATCGTCTCCTCTCCAACATTTATCATTTGGTTAAACTTAGCCAGTGCTACTGGGATGAGATGATATCTCGTTGTGGCTTTGATTCGTATCTCTCTTAACATCATTGATTTTGAGCATTTCCTCACATGTTGGCCATCTTTATGTAAAGTCTTGCCAGGTCTTGTGACCATTTTGTAATCGGGTTCTCAGTCTTTTTCTTGTAGAGGTACTGTAGTATTCTGTAAACTTTTATTGAGACTCTTATCTGAGATGGAATTGCCAAGTGTTTTGTCCAGTCCATATGTTTTCTTTTTATCCTTACTGGAAAAAGGTTTTGATGCACACGGGGACTTAATCTTTAGAAGATCCATCAGGTTTATTCCATCAAGTTTATTCTCTCCTTGTTTTGCAGTTCAGACTATATTTGTCAGCCATAGGCTAAGCCTTCTGAGTTTGGTTCCATTCTGTCTCTTATGGTCTTTATGATTTGGGACTTTACCATAAGGTCTCTGATCCACCTTAGTTGACTTTTTTAATATGATATGGGATATTGATCCTGCTTCAGCTTTTTGCAGCAAACAGTCCAGGTTTTTTGTTTGGTTTTCTGGTTGTTTTTTTTTTTTTTGGGGGGGGGAAGGTGTGTGTATGTGTGTGTGTGTTTTGTTTCTTTTTTAAATTATTTTTATTAATATTAATGAATGTTTACAGAGACTTTGGATTTCCATTTATTCATTGTTGCACTTTTCTCCCTGTCCAACCTCCCCCACCCCAGTTCACTCTTCCCTTTGTAAAGCAAAAGAAAAATTCTTTCATTGTTATACAGTTCCTCCCCTCAACTACTATCCGCTATGCAGCCTTCATTCTGGAACAGTCCAGTTTTGCCAGCACCCTTTGTTGAAGAGGTTGTCATTTCCATATTTCATAAGTTTTGGGGTTTTTTTACCATTACCAGTTGACCATAGGTAGGTAGATTAATATCTGGGGTTTTTTATTCTGTTTCGTTGTTCTATGGGTCTGTAATTGTGCCATTACCATGCTGCACTGGTTATTATAGCTGTGTAGTGGCTATTGAGATCAGGGAGTGTTATGCCCCCCAATTTAATAGAGTTTCAGGAAACAAGATCATTGTACAAAAATCAGTGGGATTCCTCTATAGTAACAAAGAAAGCACAGATAAGGAACCTAAGAAAACAATACCATTTACCATAGCCAATGACAAGTTGAGATACTTGGGAATAAACATAACTAGAGACACAAAAGACCTTTATAAAGAAAACTACAAAACACTACTGTGAGAAACAAAATGAGGAAATGTTCCATGTTCTTAGATAATGTAAGTCAATATAGTAGAAATAGCAATCCTACCAAAAGCAATCTACATATTTAACACACTCTCAGTACAGATAACCAAATTTCATTTTTCAGAGACAGAAAAGGCATTTGTCAAGTTTATGTGTTAAGGAAAGAGATCCCAAATAAGCAAAGCATTTGTTCTCATCGTGTATAAATTTTCATGGTCCATCATGGTTGCATAAGACCCTGTATCTTAAATTTTGCTAAGCTTTGAGAAGAAAGAAGGATTAAAGATGTTGAGCCTTTTTCTTTTAAGGACACTTTTGTAAAATTGTTCTTGTTATCTTGTCAGTATTAACGTGTATGGCTACACTTTAGTAATAAGAGGATGGAAATTGGGGTGACCTTTGGTCCACCTAAAATTTAGGAATGTATTTTTTTATGAAGAAGAAGCCATATATATATTGGGAACAAGTGGAGATGTCTGTGGCATTTATACTCACAAGTGCAATTATGATTATTTTATTGTCTTCTTTTCTAAACAGATCCCATGCGTGGCCCAAGAAAACTGGAAGTAGTAGAAGTCAAATCTCGACAAATCACTATTCGCTGGGAGCCCTTTGGGTATAATGTAACTCGTTGCCATAGTTACAATCTCACAGTGCATTACTGCTACCAAGTTGGAGGACAGGAACAGGTTCGTGATGAAGTCAGCTGGGATACAGACAACTCACACCCTCAACATACCATCACTAACCTGTCTCCGTACACCAACGTCAGTGTGAGGCTTATCCTTATGAACCCGGAGGGACGGAAGGAAAGCCAAGAGCTTATCGTGCAGACAGATGAAGATCGTGAGTAATTTTCATGAGAAATATATTCTTTGAAAACGTCAGGTCTTGCTTTTTCCAAATTGTTGTGTATTTATAGTTAAAGTAGAAAAAAGAACTACTTACAAATGTCCATATACGTTAGTATGTTTAAGCACCAATTGAAAAAAGTAAGGTGAATAAAGACAAAGTATACTGCTTTATTAGGCATAAGTTACTGTTCTGTATGTGATAACTCTTTCTCATACACGTTTAAGTCCAATATTTATTATCGTAGAGAACTGAACACTAGCTGTTTGAGGTACTACATCTGATTACTTATATGAAATGCTTATTTACATATAATAAGTGGCCTTTTGTGCCATTTGTCATAGTTCAGATAAAAATTTAGAACAAAAGGAAGGCATTTTATGCTTTAAAGCACTGTGCTGGGAAATGGACTATTAATAGTCATGAAGTGGATCATTTTTCCCATAGGAGCAATGCCATAATTAGATATTACCTTAATAAACAAGGCTTTACCAGATAAACCATGTATGTTATGAGCAATTTGTCCAGAACACAAATAATTAAGTCTCTGAAATAATTTACAATAGTAAAATTATGCCTTAAATCCCATAGCGTGGGTATAAATTTGCTTTTCTACTGATTCTTGAGGGCACCCCTGCATACAATATCAGGTTCATAAAACATAATAAATAAAATACAATGGCCCTCCATGAGATATTTGACCTGACATTTGCAAGACAAGCAGCATGTAAAGTGTCAGAGAACTTGAAAAGTCCATTAAATAAATAATATTACTTTTTCCTGAAGAAGGGGGAGATTAATATTTAGCTTTTTGCCTCTTTATGTGGCTTTGATTAGTGAAAACTCATGTTAGATATTTGCAAATAATACTCTTTCATTTAACGAGCTAGAACAGCATTTTGAGTGTTTCGTTTCTGATAAACACTATGAAGTTTATTGTAGAAGAAAAGGGTAGAGAAAGTCATGGTCAGTGTGGCCCTCATCTCATGCCCTCCTCTCTCAGGACCCTTCTAGCCCTGCCCACTGTAGTTGCCCCCCAGTGCCCTCAGTTTTGGATGTTTGTGTGATGTGGGTTTGATTGGATGGTAGTGTGAACATGTCAGTCTGTGGAGGCTGAGATGAGAAGCTGTCTTTGGGTTTCCTCCAGTTCTTCCCTTGTCACCCAAGAAGTGTCAGCTCTGTCAACACCTCATCAGGCTGTTCCTCTGCCTTGCCTACCTATGTTACTTGTTTCTAATTACTGCTATTTTGCTATTTCTACCTCCAGAATATTGTATTCTTCTTTCTTTCTGCATTCATTATTCAAATCCTCATTATTTCATGTTGAAATTATAGGTTTCTAAGCTTTCTTTGTAATTTTTCTTTTCCAATTCTAATGTCTCTATTCACTCCTGAAACTAAGCTCTGAAATGCATTTCATTATGTCACTCTGTCCACAAGAGCTCTCATTGACTTTTCCTATTAATCTTTAGTCCAGAGCCTTGTCTTTCACAGTCTTCTGAACTCTTGCCTTGAAATCTAAAATAAATTCTTCTGCAGAAGTGTCCCCTGGGTATTAGTTGCATAGACTATGCTTGTTATGTGCCCTATCTTCCCTCAGTCACCAGAGTGTCTCGTCTACTCCGTCTACCTGGTACCTAGCAAATGTGTGCTGCCACTTGCTCCAAGTTCTTACAAAACTGTCTCCAACTCTTCCAACCAGAAGACTCTATGTGAATCCTTCTGACTTGATTTGTACTTACCAATCATGAGCCTATTCTCTTCATCTGAGAAGATGGTAACAGTATTTCTAAAGCTTATCAGAGTTAGGATAATTAATATAGTGCTAGTTGTAGCTTTTAGAGGGTTGTCATTTAATGTATTTATATTATTATTAGGCTCATAACAGTTCATTATTATCTTTTCCTTGTTCTTTCCTTACATATTTTTCTCCAATTATAATCTTCTTGAGAAAAGAAGCCACATTTTTTTTCTTGTGCAGCATAATCTTGATGTCAAGTAATTAACAGAAACATTATTCTCAAAAATGAAATAAAATTTTGTTGATAATTTATTTCATGTTTTGTCGGAGACACACTAACTTCTAAAGCAAGATTAGCCCTGTACTGTAAAACCAGCAAGACTAATTCCATCTTGGTTAGAACATCTGCTTGGCAATTAACAACTCAAGGAAGTAGGATGTTAATGAATAAGAGTCACCAAAGGTCTCAGACCTTAGAGAATGTTATCTACCAAAAATCTTTGTTTCTTAGAGCACACAATAAGGTATGCTGGAAAACATCTTTGTATTGTGCTGAGGTCTGTGAGAGTTAATGTTTGACCTGATAGTCTACATCTCAGATGGAAAGAGATAATGCAACTACTACTGCAGAAGTGTTTCTAAAACCTGTATATTTTTCTAAAATTAATAAATGCGCTATTCATCATCAGCGGATAGTCTCTCTGCGCCTTCATTTCATCCTCATCCCTTCTCTCGGCGAAACTGTTTCGATATAACGGGGCTGGACCCCGTTAATGTTTGGAGATAAGCTTGAACATATAGAATTTCTTAAAGATCAAGTTGAGAACTAACATAGGCTAGGAATCCGTATTACCCAAAAATCCAAACCACATAGTGAGTTGATTATGACTCATTGTTGTTGTTAGGTGCTGTCGAGTCAGTATAGTTCATAGCAACCCTGTGAACAATAGATCTGAGACTTGTCCTGTCCTGTGCCTTCCTTACAATCTCTGACACACTTGAGCCCATCGCTGCAATCACTGTAAGGATCATCTTCTTCCTTGTTGACCCTCCTTTTCAAGCATGATGTCCTTCTGCAAGGAATATCCTTTCTAGGCAAATGCCCAGACTGTGTGAGATGAAGTGACCCTTTATTGGGTGTCTAAAACTGAATCTTTGTGATGAGGTTGGACATCTTATTTCCCAAGAAATGTCTGCTAGATTTCAACTGTGGGCCTTTACATAACCAATAACATACTACACCACCAGGAGTCCTTAACGCGTTATTATAGCATAACTTTCAAACAATAGTGAATTAGAAGAGAATTTTATGGTAAGGACACTTGGTCTAATATTAACAAAGATGACACAATCTGAAACTAGACTAATTTGAAAAAGGATTCTGAAGAGGACTGTGATATCAGAATTGGAGGAATATTCATCAACAGTCAGTTGTTGTTGCTGTTGTTGTTGTTGTTGTTGTTGTTGTTGATTTCCATCGAGTAGAGCATGACCCAAAGCAACCCTATGAACAAAAGGCCTTTCTTAACTATCGTCATTTCTTAAAGTTCATAGAGTTCCCAGAGGTATGTTGTTTAAGAAGGGGATGCTACCCCTGCTTTCAAACCTGTCTTAACCTAGGAGCTCCACTAAACACTGTCCACCACTGGTAACCATTACATTTGACACCCTAATGACACAAGGTTCATCATCACAGCAAACCCAGGTTACCTCAGTATAACAAATTGACAAAAGAATGTTGTACCACTTAGAAAAATGTTCCTCCAAAATGTAATAACAACCAACTTTTAAATACAAAGGCCCTTCACAAGGTCTTGTTAATTCTAAACAAAAGGCTTAAATAAAAACAACCGACATAATATATTGTTGTTGTCTTATGCTATTGAGTTGTCTGCAACTCATAGCGACCAGTCTCACTAATTCTGACCCAGCAACCTCCATTACCCCAGTTACTATATCAATCCATCTTATCCCAGGTCTTCCTCTCCTGTGCTGTCCCTCCACTCTTCTGAGCATGATGTTTATCTCCAAAGACCCATCTCTCCTAGCCATGTGCACAAAGTATGTGATACAGAGCTTCAAAATCATAGTATCCAAGCAGAAACTTGGTTTAACCCTTACCAAGACAGATCTGTTTGTTTTCTTGACAATCCATGATGGATTTATTTTGGGGTTCCCAGTTCTCTCTGTTGAGATGAGTATAGGTATCTATGTATCTATCTATCTATATCACTGTACTGATACCATGCTGTCTTAATTACTATGACTGTGAAGTAGGATTTGAGATCAGGTAGTGAGATGCCCTCTAACTTGTTTTTTGTTGTTATATAAATCACAACTTGGCTTGCAGAAAATGGAGAAGAATTGAAACACTTACTGGAAAGGTCAAATAATACAGACTTCAGTATGGGTCACATTTTAACATCAGGAAGGCAAAAATATTTACCACTCCACCAGTAGGGAGCATCATGATAGATGGAAAAAGATTGAAGTTTCCAAAAATATGATTTTCTTTGAATCCACAATTAGCAGCCATTGAAACAAGAGTAAAGAAATCACAAGACTTGTTGCATTGGGAAAAAATTGCTATCGAGGACCTATCCAAAGTGCTAAAGAGCAAGGATGTCAGTTTAAAGACTAAGGTGTCCCTGATCCAAGCCATGATATTTTCAGTTGCTTCATATGCATAAGAAAGTTGAACAGTGAATAACTATGATCAAAGAATTATTGACACATATGAATTATGGCTTTGTCAAAGAATTATGAATATATCATGAACAAATCAGAACAACATAACAAATAAATCTGCCTTGGAAAAAGTAGACTAAGGCAAAGATGGTTATACTTTGTCTAACACACTTTTGATTATAGTGTCAGGAGGTGCCAGTTCTTATAAAAATGCATTGTTGTTATTGTTGTTGTTGTTATGTGCCGTCGAGTTGCTTGTGACTCATAGCGACCCTATGTACAACAACTCTAAACTCTGCTCTGTCCTGTGCCAATCTCATTGCCTCCGACACACTCATCCCGATTGCCCCAGTCACCGAATCAATCCAGAGGGCCTTCCCCTCCTGCACCTGCCCTCCACCCTCCCAAGCATGATGTCTCTCTCGAAGGACCGGTCTCTCCTTACAGCATGACCAAAGTATGTCACACGAAGCCTCAGAATCCTTGCCTCCAAGGAGCAGCCCAGTTTAACCCTCTCCAGGATGAATCTGGTTGTTTTCTTAGCAGTCCATGGCACCTTCAGCAC